TACTTCCTGGATGGGGTAGGGGTACACATTGGTTGTTGTAGGGGTGAATGAGGGGTAGGGGTGGGGGAGGGGCTAATAGGGAGGGGGGAGAGGACTTTTTTGGAATATAATAAAAATTCTCTGATAAACCGTTTTTAGGTAGGGTCCACTTCTCTTGTGACAGCACAAAGACAGTTGCGGGTTCACACCACTCCCCCCTCCCCCCCACCCCTTTTTCTATTCCCCTGGGGATGTTCCACTGAGATTAGAGAGTGGTGTGTTGATTAAGCAGCTGTCTTTATATTCATGGCAGAAATTTTGGAAAAGTGTTTTTTACGAATAACTTTTGAACGGCAAGTGGGAATCGAAAAATTCTTTTTTTAGAAGGCGTATCTGTAAGAGGCCCTAGTCGAATACGAAATCTGAGAGTTGGGGTAACGGGGTAAGGTGGGGTAAACCCCAAAAAACATGTGTCACGGGGGTGGGAAAAAAGGTCAAAAAACAGGTTTTTCGTGAATAACTCGAAAACGAAGAGGGGTATCGAAACGGGGTTTGCGGGAGGTCGTAGAACTAGTGGGGGCGCACCTTTTGCAACAAACGGCACTCGGATTGGGCGTGGCACCTACGTCACAGTGACGTCAGAAGAGGCGATTTTGGCACTTTTTCGCCGATTTTCAAACTAACGGGGCAAAAAAGTGACAAGAGGTACAGACGGCCGAATAGGCTCAAACTGTGCCAAATTTAGTGGGGTAACTGAGAACCTTCGTTTGCACCAGGGTACCGCCTTTCTGTTCCGAGTTATTTGGCACAAACCGAGTGGCACTGGTGCCGAAAAGTGCCAAAAACACACTTTGGACCCTAACTTTTGAACCACAAACGGGACAAAACTGGCACGTGGCTCAAACGAAAGATCTCCGCGAGTTACACGAGTGACCTGAGTTTGGGCGTGGTTGGGCGTGGTCGTGACGTCACAGAGGCAAGCGAAAGTGGGCCCTGTTTGGGACCTAGGCACAGAGAGACCAAAAGTGGTACAGATGTGCAAACGGTGCCAAAGTGATCGCTATATGGTGGATTGAAAAGGGTGGGAACGGCGACTTGGTACCTTTTACGGTTGCGCCACTGTGTGCCAAAAACCAAAAAATAGGGTCAAAAACGGGGTGCCAAAAAAGTCTTTTGGCCATAACTTTTGAACCAGCGGGGGTACCACGACGCCCGTCACACCAAATGTTGCCCCTTTCAAGGGGCATCGTTGGGTGTGGTCGGTTTTTGATTTGGGCGTGGCTATGACGTCACAGCGACGTCGGAAAATTGAAAAAAAGTTTGATTTTGAGGGCGAATAACTTTTTCTGTGTTTCAGTGTTGGGAAATCCAAACGTGCCAAAAAACTTTCCATCCAGTTGGCAATCCGGGCCTGTGGTCGAAAATCGATTGTCACGTTTCCTTTGTGCCAAAAAGTGCCAAAAGTTAAAAAAGCCATAAAATTTTGGTTTTTTGCGAATAACTTTTTTCACAGACGTGGTACCCCCCCCAACATACCACCTAAATGGATAGAGGGCGTCGCGGCGCATCTTTTGATGGTATGGTTGTTCCAAAAAAAGTTGAAGATAATGTGCCATTTTGGCACAAAGTTTGAAAATGTGCCAATTTCAGACGTTTTGGCGCATATCTTTGCTCATGTAAATGGTACCTCAGCTTAAAATAGCTCATGTGAAAGGGCGTGTCCATGCGGTCAGTTTGATGTATTTGGTTTTGGATTTGGGCGTGGCAGTGACGTCATGGCTACGTCACAATGGCGAATTTAGGCCCATTTTCAAAAATTCGTTTCTCTTTCGTCAAAGAAATGTTAGTGTGGTTAATATGTGGAAAAGATCGGTAAATTAGCGTTCTTTTATGGTGCGTTGAGTATTTTGCAGTACCTATCACAGTTTTTTCAGAATTGGCACATTTGTAATGGCCGGTATTTGAAAAACGTTTATGCCCATTACTTCTGTGATTCATGAGGTACCTCGGATGTATGTGCAGCAAACGAAAGATCTCGTCAATACGAATCGATTGGTGGTATTGGTTTAGGGGTTACACCTAGTAATGACGTCACTATGACCGGTTGAAGTTTTGGCACTTTTCTGTATTGGTGTAATTGTTTATTCTGACTAGGCCCGGTCCGCCATTTTGTGTTTTGACTTTCGAAGCTTTATTGCCATAATTCGGCGACTGTATGGAATGAATTAGGGGCCATGGGCTCATTTTGAAGGGTTTTACAAGGGTCATCTGCTGGTGTAAGTTGTTTGTTAATTGGGCGTGGTTATGATGTCACTCTGACGTCATAGTTTTATTTCTTATCATTTGTTATAGTTTTTTTTCAAAACCAATCTGTACATCTGAATGAATGACACCAAATGAAAGATATCGTTGATGCGATTCGAATGGTACTATTATATGGGGGTTTACTTTAGCAATTGATGATTCTAGAGTGTTTTTAATTTCTGGTACTGTAACGTCTATGTAGCAGGGTCCGGCCCTCCATTTTGTGTTGCAGTTTCTAGGCATCATTGTCATAACTCTAAAACGATATGGAGTATGTTAGGGGCCAAAGGCTCATTTTGAAGCTTTTTGCAAGGGGCATCTTTTAGGGTGGTTTGTTTTCAAATTGGGCGTGGCTGTGCTGTCATAGTGACGTCATAGTCTTCAACTTTTTGGAATTTTTGAAAATTAACTATTTAAATACATGTTCAACGTCAAAATGAATAACACCTAATGAAAGTTCTCGTCAAAGCGATTCGAATGGTGGTATTGGCTCTTCTGTGGCGTAAAGAAATTAGTTTATTATGCAGAATTCCTTTTCAAAACTTCATCGATTGCTTTGACCGATAACTGCATCAATGGACAGGGCATTCATTTTAATTGATGCGATTAAGGGTCTTTGTTTATATTTTATCTTCAAAATTGTCAAACAACGAATGATGTCTCTTTTGTTCTGATTGATTGTTTACATAAAGATCAAATATCCCATCCAGACAGCAGGTACTTTTCGAGTTCGAATTCGCATGTGAAATTCGATGCGGCCGTTGATGAAGTTTGGTTTGTCACAAGAATTGCTTGTCTGAGTACTTTGTTACTTTGTTACTCAGACTTGGATCGTTTGGAAATCGTTTGGGTTTTTCAAGACCGCATTGTTGGATTATTTGGCGGTTGAGTTCGACGCCTTAACTATTTACCAAGAAAATTGGACTCCTTTAACTATGGATTTTCTGTATACTTGTATGTGGACCTTATTGAGGACATTTATCAATCGGACTGGACTTTTATGGATTGATTAATATAGCTACAGTTGTTTAATGGTATCGCTGATAATTGGATTGTAAATCATTTAATTCCATTGAGATTCATCTCGTGCGAAATGGTTTCTTTTTTTCAAATTCTGGTCTCCCTGTCAGCGGCCCGCGGTTTCGGTCTTTGCTGACGCCATTTCGCTTTTGAAATTGTTTTGAGGAGAAAGAGAAGAAGTCGGAAGGTATGTTTGTATCACTAATAATTTAATTGTTCTTACTATAAGAAAGCATTATTTTTATTGCTTGAATATGGAATATGAGAAGAAAGTCTTCCTCTGCGCTTATGGAAATTTATTTACTTTGTGTACTTTGTGTATTTTCTAGCGGAGACTTATTTACTTTCTGTCGCTAGTATCCCCTAATACTATTCGTATTGCCGAATTGTAGAACATGACATTAAAAAGATTCGTCCTTTCTAAAATTATAAATTTTTGTCGGTTTTATTCATGAGATTACAGCTGCAAAATTTGCTACTTTGTTTGAATTATTTGTGACAGCTTTTCTTTAAAACAATAATTCGGCGGCTGTTCACTTTGCACACAGTTTTATGCAGCATTCTAAACAAAAGATAATGTCATTGTAATGATGACAGGATAATTTTTCCTTTATTTTCACCCCAGTTTCTTAGACGCGTCTCATTGTTTCTGCAGATATTTGAGTGACCTTGGCAAATACATTTTTCAAATAAATAATTTTTAGTAAGTTGTCTGCTACACTATTTGTAAATTTTCACTTTCACCCAACCATATTGAACTAAACTGTAGAATTCACTTATCATTGCTATACAATTGGAACGAAGGAGTTAATATTGTGTATTACTACTTTAATGAAACTCTTTAAGCTAATGTCTTTATATCTGAAATTGTAATTATGATATTGTATATATAATGATTAAATTATTTCATTCTGCTCATTCCTAAAACATAAATGCAAACTCACAACTTCTATACCTTGCTGAACGTAAACATAAATTCATATTTTCATGTTATTTTTATCAACATCATTATGAATTATACCATATTGCCCTCGTTGACATAAGGTTAAAATATGGAATGCCATTTTCAATTCTTTGAGATTGAGACTGCCCTGATTGTGAATTGTTCATATTTGTATAAATTTTAGTTGTAAATTGCTGCAATTCTAATGTTGATCAGAAAATAGTTTGTGCCCTCATTAGTCAATCCTTTTCATAATTCTTTAATTATTGATTTGTTATTGCTGCATACATGTATCTCATACTCTTTCATTGTTTCCATAGGTTTTCATTCTAGTTTATATTTCTTTAAACTATTATTGGTTAATTTTGTTCTATTTATTTGGTGAGTTTCAATTTTATAATTCCTTAATGTTACACTGATTAGCTCATTTCATCATAACCTTTAACAAAACAATGTTATTGTATGGAGATGTTTTTTGACTAGTCTCCCAGTATATAAACTATTTGAACTTGCTACAGCTGTATATTCTAGTCACTGGTATTTAATTTTACAAAATGTGTTCTGTTTTTTCAATAAGCGGCATGAATAGAAAAAGGATATATTGTTTCTTTTGGAATATTTATTAACAATTGTTACCAGTGTTTGAACATTTCATACATAAGGAGTCAACTGCAGAATACTAAATTAGTTCTTGTAAAGTCATAACATTTGGCATTGCTGATTTGCATCACAGTGTTGCTACATTTGGACCACCTTTCAACATAAACTATACAGATAGATAGAATGATCATTTTCAATTCTTCCAATTTCAAACCATGTTGAATTTTAGTTATTAGAAGTTATCGTGATATAAAATATTTAATGTTGTAAGGTTGCTTGAAATATAATTTTGACAAGTAAATGATTGATGTCCTCTAACTGTAATTCTTTAATTAAGGTTACATGTAATTTACTTATTGATACATACATTTCTCTCATACTCTTTCTTTTTTCTATAGGTTTCCATTTCAATTTCCTTAATTTGACTTATATTGGTTGGTTTTCTTCTGTTTATTTGGTAAGTTTTCATTTAATAATTCTTTCATGTTTTACTGTTTGACAACACATTGTTATCATATGGAGAGATTTATTGACTACTCTCACAGTACATTTGAACTTGCTACAGCTGTATATTCTAGTGGCTGGTATTTTAATTTGACAAAATGTGTTCAGTTTTGTTTTTTTTAATGATGGGCATGAATAGGAAGATAATATGTTACATTCTTTTGAAATATTTATTATCAATTGCTACCAGTGTTTGAACATTTTATACACAAGGAGTCAACTGTTATATATTAAATTAGTTCTTTTAAAGTCATAACATTGGCATGGCTGATTTGCATGATAGTGTTGCTACATTAGGAATATGTTTCTACTACTTGACAAATTCCATCATTGAAATATGAAGATAATTGGAATGATTACCACCTTTCAACATAAACTGTACAGATAGAATCATCATTTTCAATTCTTCCAATTTCAAACCATGTTGAATTTTAGTTATTGGAAGTTATCATGATATTATATATTTAATAGTGTAAGGTTGATTGAAATATAATTTTGACAAGTAAATGATTGATGTCCTCTAACTGTAATTCTTTAATTAAGGTTACATGTAATTTACTTATTGATACATACATTTCTCTCATACTCTTTCTTTTTTCTATAGGTTTCCATTTCAATTTCCTTAATTTGACTTATATTGGTTGGTTTTCTTCTGTTTATTTGGTAAGTTTTCATTTAATAATTCTTTCATGTTTTACTGTTTGACAACACATTGTTATCATATGGAGAGATTTATTGACTACTCTCACAGTACATTTGAACTTGCTACAGCTGTATATTCTAGTGGCTGGTATTTTAATTTGACAAAATGTGTTCAGTTTTGTTTTTTTTAATGATGGGCATGAATAGGAAGATAATATGTTACATTCTTTTGAAATATTTATTATCAATTGCTACCAGTGTTTGAACATTTTATACACAAGGAGTCAACTGTTATATATTAAATTAGTTCTTTTAAAGTCATAACATTGGCATGGCTGATTTGCATGATAGTGTTGCTACATTAGGAATATGTTTCTACTACTTGACAAATTCCATCATTGAAATATGAAGATAATTGGAATGATTACCACCTTTCAACATAAACTGTACAGATAGAATCATCATTTTCAATTCTTCCAATTTCAAACCATGTTGAATTTTAGTTATTGGAAGTTATCATGATATTATATATTTAATAGTGTAAGGTTGATTGAAATATAATGTTGACAAGTAAATGATTGATGTCCTCTAACTGTAATTCTTTAATTTAGGTTACCTGTAATTTACTAATTGATGCATACATTTCTCTCATACTCGTTCTTTTTCTATAGGTTTCCATTTCAATTTCCTTAATTTGACTTATATTGGTTGGTTTTCGTCTGTTTATTTGGTAAGTTTTCATTTAATAATTCTTTCATGTTTTACTGTTTGACAACACATTGTTATCATATGGAGAGATTTATTGACTACTCTCACAGTACATTTGAACTTGCTACAGCTGTATATTCTAGTGGCTGGCATTTTAATTTGACAAAATGTGTTCAGTTTTTTTTTTAATGATGGACATGAATAGGAAGATAATATGTTACATTCTTTTGAAATATTTATTATCAATTGCTACCAGTGTTTGAACATTTTATACACAAGGAGTCAACTGTTATATATTAAATTAGTTCTTTTAAAGTCATAACATTGGCATGGCTGATTTGCATGATAGTGTTGCTACATTAGGAATATGTTTCTACTACTTGACAAATTCCATCATTGAAATATGCAGATAATTGGAATGATTACCACCTTTCAACATAAACTGTACAGATAGAATCATCATTTTCAATTCTTCCAATTTCAAACCATGTTGAATTTTAGTTATTGGAAGTTATCATGATATTATATATTTAATAGTGTAAGGTTGATTGAAATATAATGTTGACAAGTAAATGATTGATGTCCTCTAACTGTAATTCTTTAATTTAGGTTACCTGTAATTTACTAATTGATGCATACATTTCTCTCATACTCGTTCTTTTTCTATAGGTTTCCATTTCAATTTCCTTAATTTGACTTATATTGGTTGGTTTTCTTCTGTTTATTTGGTAAGTTTTCATTTAATAATTCTTTCATGTTTTACTGTTTGACAACACATTGTTATCATATAGAGAGATTTATTGACTACTCTCACAGTACATTTGAACTTGCTACAGCTGTATATTCTAGTGGCTGGCATTTTAATTTGACAAAATGTGTTCAGTTTTTTTTTTAATGATGGACATGAATAGGAAGATAATATGTTACATTCTCTTGAAATATTTATTATCAATTGCTACCAGTGTTTGAACATTTTATACATAAGGAGTCAACTGCTATATATTAAATTAGTTCTTTTAAAGTCATAACATTGGCATGGCTGATTTGCATGATAGTGTTGCTACATTAGGAATATGTTTCTACTACTTGACAAATTCCATCATTGAAATATGAAGATAATTGGAATGATTACCACCTTTCAACATAAACTGTACAGATAGAATCATCATTTTCAATTCTTCCAATTTCAAACCATATTATTATAATATAATAGATATAATTGTGTCATATTTTTTCATTTTTTCTATAGGTTTTCATTACAGTTTCTTTACTTTGACAAATATTGGTTCATTTGGTTCTCTTTATTTGGTAAGTTTTCATTTTTATAATTCTTTCATGTTTCACTGATTGCCTCATTTCATCTTTGCCTTTGACAACACAATGTTATCATATGGATATATTAAATGATCACTCCTGTGTTATATATATATATACTGTTTGCAGTTGCTATGCCTGAATATTCCAGTGATTGCTTCTTAGTTAAATGGGGAAAATGAATAGGATTATCTGTAGTATGATTCTGTTCTTTCATTTCAAAGAATTAATTATCTAATCATATATATTATTTGTACATACTTAGGCAGTTTATTGTAGTTTGTTTGAAGGATGATGGAAATATAGTTAAACTGTGTTGAATAAGTTTTGTTAATATCAGTACCATAATTATTGTTGTAAGTTCCTGCAAGTCCAATACTTATTAGAGAATTGTTGATGCCCTTTAATGCCATAAGCTGACTTTTTCAATTTTAGTAATGATTTGTTTTTGCTACATACGTATTTCTTATAATCTTCCATTGTTTCTATAGTTGTGCATTCTCAATTGGATTGCCTTTTGTGTCATTGTTCATTTTGTTCTACTAATTTGGTGAGTTCGCACTTTAGAACTGTTCAGCTTTTACTCAGTGTTTCTTTTATCATGAACTATTCTCACAGTCTAAACTATATTTACTTGCAACATCTCTACATTAATGTTTGTTACATTTTAATTTCACAATATTTGTTTTGTTTTGTGTCTCATTTTAATCAGGGATATGAATAGGAATAGGATGGATTCAAATCTTTTGAATTTTGAATTATGACTTCACATTACTTATATGAAAGTACATAAGCAATCAACATTGATATATATTTTGATATTTGTCTTTCTTAAATGGAATTTTAGCCTTATTACAGAATAATTTTTAGCAAAAGGTGTTTAGTAGACAATAATTTTTGTATTTGAAATAATTTATTTAATTGAGAGGATACTTGGCCTAATTGAGAGGATATCATTTGCTCATGGTGAATAGAATATTTATTCAAGGCCAGTCTGTAATTATTTTTGAAAGATTTGTAATTCTTTTGCTAAATGGGAATAGTGGAGAACATGACATCTGTTATGCTTTTATTTATGTAATGAATTTATTTTTTATATACCCTTGTCTTATGCTTCTCATTACTTTATAGGTTTTTGTTCTTATTGGATTTGGTCCAACTTTTGGTTATCTGGCTTTCTTTTTATTACACAGTTGGTGAGTTGATATTTGAAAATATTTCAATGTCTTGCTGAGCCTTTCAATTTACTGTTTAAACAGAATATCCTCCAGGAGGTTTTCAGAATGAGTTAGTGCAGTCCATTTGAATCCCAAATGCTGGAAGATTCAAGCTACTACCCAATATCTGCCATCAAATTGATTGTTTTTGCTGCTTTCTGTCTATCGAAATACAGGATAAATAGACAACCCAAATTCTACATTATTCTAAAACTTCAGTAGTTGATTCATATTATTTAGTAATTGATCATACATTACATGTTCAAAGTTGTGTATTTGAAATGATATGGTCATATTTCCCCCAATTTACCCTTTTGTAAGTGTTGTATTGGAAGGATATATGCGCTTAGGCTGTCTACAATGTTGATGAAGTGTTATAAATATATATTTCTGGTCAATGTGAGTTGTAACAATCAAACAGCTTGGTACATAATTCTTATGGAAGGTGATATGTGTAGTGTAGTGTTACATATGCTTGATTCTTGATGCCATCATAATTTTTCAAATTTTATTAACCAGTATGAGTAGAACACCTTCGCAACATATGGTGCAGCCTTTTATTTTCATTTCAATTCTTTGAGGTTAAAATCATATTGCACAGTGCTGGATAAATTTTGTGAAAAAAAGTCTGTCTTTCTATGTTTTTGCAAACTGACTGGATAATTTGTGACTAGTAAAGACCATTTTGACTGCCTTCCTATTTTGAAATTCATGATATCTTAATACTTTATCCTCTTTATAGCTTTTGGGGTTTTTGAATTTCAACAAATTAGGGGTTTTTTGCTTTCCCTTTCTCTGCTCTTCCTATAAAAGATTTATAGGAAAGGAAATGTAAAAGATATGTTTAATTATTTATATTAACTCTATTATTTTGTGACCATGGATAAAAGGTGTACAATGTTTTTTTAATAACTGTAATGATATATGCATCAATTGACCTTGCTTTTTCAAATTATAGTGTTAAATAGTGTTAAACTGGAAACATGTTTGTACTTAAATTGATCTGGCGTTTATATAAAGTGTTTGAAAATGCATACTGCTCTTAACATTCATTGTTTATATGAAATAGTAGTTAACTTTCAATAAAACAGACACTGATAAAACCATTATTTGTATTGTAGGTTTTGTTGCTTGTGAGTTCACTGGTAGAGGTTTGTTCCTATCATTTTACCAATTTGAGAGATTTCAAATTGGTACCTCTATTTATATTATTTATTCTATTTTCTGCATCTATATGTGCAATTGTTAACGTTTTAAATTTGTAGCTCATGTGAACTGAGGTTTCCAAGTTTTATTTCAAGTGACATTGTTCATTCTATATGATATATATTGTACACTAATTGGTGCAAAGAACATTTAAGTTTCTCCGTGAGCAGCCAAAACAAAACTCATCTCTATTGACATCACTGAAAGGGGGGTGTTCATGCTGTTTTTCAATTTATTTCTGTATATATGTTTTGGCCCAATCAATATGTCTGATATATTGGAATTCTTTTATAAAAAATTTACTTAGATCGATCAGTAATATTTATCTCTTTTGTTTCAGGAGTTTATTTACCCCCTTTGAAACCCTTATAAGCTATGGGAAAACCTAAAATTACGTGGACAAATGACATGACCGAAACATTGCTTAGTATTAGGAAAACCGCCTTAGCTAAGAAAGAAAAAGGTGATGGGCGTGCATTAATGAACATTGTCCTTGAGCACTGGCAAGAATTATTTCCAAATTCTAAGGTTACTGTGAATGCCTTGAAAATCAAGCTGAGCAAATTAACTAGGGGGGCAGAAGGCAAGGTACCAACAGCAACTGAAACCGCTGCAAATAATGATAAGCCCACTGAAACTAAGCAGGATGAACAGGAAAAGGTCATGGATAATAAATTGTCCATCCCAGTTGTTGAGACTGAGGTAACACAACCTGAGCAAGTTAAGCAAAAGCTTCGAGCAAGGGCAAAGATATCAAACCCTCACCCTTTCAGGCATAGCAATAAAGGTAGTACTAAACTATCTGCTAGTATGAAGCTGGACCTTACTAATTCCTATAAATTAGTAAAAGAAAGGGAGAAAGGGAAGGGGAGGTCAAAGAGGTACTTATTTCAGGAAGCTAGAAAAATTTGGCTTCAATTATACCCCTCTTCCTCAATTTCACTTCGAACCATAGCAACAGTTTGCAAATCGCCAATAAGACCTAGGCAGGTCTCCTCTGATCCACCTGATCAAGGCAACAGTGATGGACCACAATTCTGCAATGTTCCAGATTGTACTAAGAGGCTGAAAGGAATGCGCCAAGCCTCTTCGGAACTGGCAAGTCAGCCAATCTTTAAGTACATATGTTACAACTGTGGTCGCCTGATACCATATGAGAAACGTAAGCAACACATCAATTATGTCACCTTTGACCCACTTGGCATAGGCTATGAAACACCTCCCGTACTTGATCTTTATGATACAATAGGTGAGTTAGCCTATCAGAATAACAGGGGAAGGTGGACATCTTGTAGAACCTGCAAGAGTGGGCCTATCGAGTTATACAACGCTGCAGACCCAGGTACAGGTAAGCTGTATGTCCCTGAACCTCTTAGGGACTTGGTATCTCCCTATGAAAAGGGCCAGATATCGCTAGCCGGTATCATATCAAAGATAGTGAAGCCACGTAGTGATAGGTTTAAGGTCTGGGAGCACTTCCAAGGTGACGTTATAACCAGATCGAAATATGACTCCCACTACTACGGTATGTATGGATTCATGGTTAAGCGTGATGAATCTGTAAGTGAAACAAACGTAATTGCCAATGAAGTGCAGTTGCGTATTAAACGTGCTTTAATATGGTTACGTAACAATAATCCACTGTTTCAGTCATTTTATGCTAATTATGACACATTGTATCGTTTTGACCCTGACAAGGTACTACACTTGCACAAGGCTACAGACTTTGCTGCAAATTTCAACAAAACAGTGGACAGTCATATGCACGACGAATCTAGCGGTATTGTTACAAACTTGGATGACTGCGGAATTCCCAATTTCTTGAACGAAGGAGCTGATCAAGCAGGAATACAGCATCCAATTGCCGCTCAAATGAACAAAAGTCTGCACGAACTGAAGCAGCTTACTAGGGTCAACTACTCAGATCCAAAGTTGGAGGCAAAACTGTGGCCACACCTGTTTCCTTTCGGAATTGGGGGCTGGTCGCAGGATACTTGCATGAAAGCTGGAGAATACCTCAAGCATGTGCTTCTGAACAAAGATGCCAGATGGCGGAAGGACCCAAGCTTCTCCTTTCACTGGTATGACAGGCAGATCAAGATGAAGCTTTTCTACATTGCAAAAGCTCGAAAAGCCAAGCGTGTCGACAGAGTAGACGCACTTACTAGCTTACAGCTACACGAGTCAACGTTCTATGACAAACTTGGACAAATTGTTCCAGCGACAATAACTGGTTCAAGAAGTTACTGGAACAGTAAAACGTTGGACCTGCTTGCTTTGAGCAGAAAACTTGGACAACCGACCTTCTTTGTGACTTTGACACAAAACGACAACTGGCCTGAAATACAGAACCATATCATAAATGGTCCAGGTCATGTACAGCCTATGATTGACGTTG